GACATTGTGTTGACATTGTGTTAACCTTGTGTTAACATTGTGTTAACATTGTGTTGACCTTGTGTTAACCTTGTGTTGACCTTGTGTTGACATTGTGTTAACCTTGTGTTAACATTGTGTTAACCTTGCGTATGACAAATAAACACAACTTGAATTAAATGGCTACATGAGCTGAGATCCATCTATCATCCATCCATCCATTATATTTACCCGCTTCTTCTTTTTTGGGGTCACGGGGGTCACTGGTGCCCATATCCAGCAGTCACTGTGCAAGAGGCAGGGGACAGCCTGGACAGTTCCAAGTCCATCACAGGGACACATGGAGACAAACTAGACAACCATCCACTCTCTCACTCTCACATAGAGACAATTTAGAGTTACCAATCAGCCTAACATGCATGTTTTTGGTCTGTGGGAGGAAACCGAAGTACCCGGAGAAAACCCACGCATGCACAGAGAGAACATGCAAACTCCACCCAGAAAGGCAGACGGACCGGGATTTGAACCAGGGTAACCTGCTCGCTGAGAGGTGGCAGCTCTACCAACTGCGCCACCGTGCTGCCCCTGAGCTGAGAGACTGTAAATATAACCCCTTTATATAAAATAATAATCTCAAGGGAGAAATGTTGTCAGTCTGACAAATTAAAAAATAAAAAAAATATTAAAATATATCTGACAACTCCTCTAAAAGTAAACTACAGAAAAGTTATTAAAACCATCTCTTCCTTCAGAAACCGTTGGTCTTTATGGTGCTTCATTTTACTAAGCTCATGTACACAGTACACAACTGTACTTTTATTAAGGTCTTGTACACAGTACTCTCCCCTTTGTGTGAAAACCTTTGAGAAGTGATCTGTATGCAGGAAAAAGCTCTGAAATGTGTGGTAGTGTGTGTGTGTGTGTGTGGGGGGGGGTATCTGAGTAAACTTCTAGGTGTAGACAAAATAAAAAATCAGTCAAACTTTTTTTCTGCTTTAATCCCTGCGCTCTGTAAGACACTGTTCAATTCCAAAGTTCTAGATGTTTTCTGGTTTGTGTTTCTAATTCTGGAATTGTAAAATGGAAAATTCTGGATTTTCTAATTGTAAGTTTTACCTTCTGGCTTGGAGGAAAGTGCAACTGTGCAAAGATGAATAATGTAATTTGCCGTTTGTCTTCAAGTTTGTCGTTTCTTGACCCCTGTCGTTAATAATGACAGAACAAACCATGGAAACAGTCGCCTTTGATGACTGTTTCTAGCGCTTCCTGCTTCATGACGTCTCGTCGTATTGTCTGTGCTGTGCAGCAGCTTAGAGGCGAATAGAGATGACTTTTCTGTGCAACCTCTGTGGAGAACAGAATTGTTGTAAATCTTTAAATATACACCATCTGACTGAAAGTCACTGCTCTAAAACAGCTGATTTTACATTAATATCTTAAGCTGAAAAGGTTCAAGTCTGTTTTATCTTTAACTTTTTTTAGGAGATCATTTCATTTTCCTAATTACTGAAAGGCAGACACTTCTGTATGTAGCTGATTTTTCTTTGCTGAGGTTCTGCTCTGAAGATTTATTCATCTCTACATCGCCCTAGCCCCATTCATGAAAAGGTCTCTTTAAAACCCAGATTAGCAGAAAGCAATTAGAATATCATCTGAGGATAAGATCGATAAATGAGATTATGCCAGCAGCTAAATTAGTTTTAAAGCTCGTCTCTTTTCCATAAAGAAATGTAAATAAAGATCCAGTTTAACATCCAAGCGCCTTTGAAAACTTGCAAAGTGAATGTAGTGGTTTAATGTAAATTCAGTAAACTTTAAAAGAGGCAAAAGGCAACAAAAAGTAAATATAAACAACAAAAATTAGGTGGGGAAGACATGCTGTAAATATAAAAAGCCTCGAATGTTCGTTTGTATCAGAGCATCGGTTGTTTTTTCTCATTGATGAGATCCTGGAGATGTTTAGAGATCTGGTCTCTCCTCCAAGCTTCAGCTGTGAATCCTGTTCAAGAAAATAAGTCTGGATGATGGTAAACAGAAGTAAAAATAGCACACTTAAGGTCGCTGTCTAGACTGTAGAGCCGATAACTGAACTTTGTGCCCAAGTGTTTACTGGAATGAAGAGATTTTCCAGCAGCTTCCTTTTCTATTAAGAATTGAAAGTCTCAAAACCACTGGTTGTTCTTAAAAACACACAGGTGTTTTTTTTTTTTTACATTTGGGTAGTGAAAATGTCTGATCAAGATTAAAACATTCGTAGTTCGTGTCATAAATGTAATAACTTTGGTTCTTACCTGAAGAAACAAGTTTCGGCCCATAGCACTTTACCGTTACGGTATAATTTTTAAATTCCATTTAATGCCAAATACTGGAGGAGCTGAAGAGATTTACAGATGAGGAAGAAATTAAGAACAAACTTTTACTAAATTGTTTTGAAGAAGTTAAGATTTTCAAATACAAATACATAATATTGGCCTGCATGAATACATTATTATTATTATTATTATTACTATTATTAATATTATTAACTAACTTAAAACATGACTTCAAAAACATCAAAGTTCATTCTCAGTAATCCAGGTAAAAAGTCCTACAAAGTTCAGTCAGGTCATCTGGATGGTTTCTTTTTTGTTTGTTGAGAAGTTTGGTCCTTCATCCAAATGACTTCATCAGTCCGAGGAGCCACAACAAACTTGAGTCCCACAAGCAGCACACTCACATAGTGGACCAACCAGTTTGATGGTGATAAGATGGTTTCTGGGTCCTGCCCTCTTCCCCTGTCGACTCCTCTGAGGCAGCCATGCCCGAAGTGGTTCAAAACATCAAAGTTCATGTTCAATAATCCAGGTAAAAATTTAAAAAAAGTTCAGTCAGGTCCTCTGGACAGTTATTTTGTTTTTGTCTTATCACCAACATGGTGATAAGACGAGATGAGTTCATTAATAGAATTAAGAAGAAAAGGACACAGAAAAAAATCTATTAGACACCTTTAAACAATTTGAAATGGCAAATATTTCAGTCAGCGAGGCAATCCTGCTGTGTCCGTCTCATTTTCAACATTTTCACGAGCTTCAGAGATGTGCTTTAAGATGAGCTCCCTCCCCACTGAAAGCATTGACTTGCACCACACAATGCCACGCATCACCCTGTGACTTTATTCTTCAGCGAGGATACTCCCTGCCTAACCACTCTGTACTTCCTCCCCACTTACAGTGGTTCCTGAAAGTTTGTGAGCTCTTTATAATTTTCTATATTTCTGCATCAATATGACTTAAAACATAATCAGGTTTTTACACAAGTCCCATGAGTAGATGAAGAGAACCCAGTTAAATAAATGAGACAAAAATATTATACTTCGTCATTTATTTATGCGTGGTGAAAGGCTGCACTGTCTTTCTCTCTCTCCCACTGTGTGGGGAGTTCAGATAATCTGATCGCGTCAGTGTGTGATCGCCCATGAGCCAGATTAAACAACAACAAACAGATTTATTACTGGGGGGATATTGATGAGGATGCACAGCAGCTTTGTAGTTTGTTTAAAAATAGTTAACCACAAATGGGATCAATTATGTGAGTTAATTTGTGGTGCAGAGGTTCGAGAAGGTGGGCCTGTGACTGGAAGGTCGCCGGTTCAACTCCCCAGATTGACATCAAAATGTGGGTGGGAAAGATGAAGCACCTACACCTGCCTCCACCCTCATTTGCTCCACTCTGGGCCCTTGAGCAAGGCACTTAACCCCCACTGTCTGTTCCCCCAGGTGCCATAGATAGCAGCTCTCTGCTCCACACAGAGGGCTGTGGTAGCTCAGTGGTTTTGTCAGGAAAGACATCCAGCGTAAAAACAATCGCCAAGTCTTTGTGTGAGTTAGTTCGCTGTGGCGATCCCTGAGGAAGGGAGCAGCCGAAAGAAGAAGAAAAAAAATTAATTTAGCGACTCTTTTAACTTTTCTACTCCTGATATCTGATCAGTCATGTCTGTTTGTTGTTTGGGTTTATCAGGGGGACTATGTGTGGTTGGACCTCAAGACGGGACGAGAGTTTGACGTCCCAGTTGGAGCTGTGGTGAAACTCTGCGACTCTGGACAGATCCAGGTTCTGGATGATGAAGGCCGGGTAAGTCATCATGACAGCAGGAAGGAAACTAACTGTTTGAGCCCAACGGATGGATCTTCTTTTTTCTTTTAGTCTTTCAATGTAACTGAACTGACAGTAAAACAAAACTCTTACAGCCTGTAAAGAAAACTTGGGGTTAAGCCTGAACAGGCACCAGTTTAGATGTGCTCTAAGTTCAGACACAGCTCCTCTGATGTACTTTTTGTCTTTCCTCACACAGGAACGTTGGATTTCCCCTCAGAATTCCATCAACATCAAGCCCATGCATCCAACCTCCGTCCACGGGGTGGAGGACATGATTCGACTGGGCGATCTAAACGAAGCTGGCATCCTCCGCAACCTGCTCATCCGCTACAACGAGCACGTCATATATGTTAGTTCCATGTGCAGCTCCTGTCAGAGTACACAACAGAAATGTTTGATGTTTCTTGCTTTGTGTTTCTGCGTCGTCCAGAGCCGTGCTTGCTAATAACGTCTCATAGAGAGCATCTCTCTGCTTTTGTTGAGTTAAGGTTATTTCAGGTGTGTTCATTCAGCTGGAACTTGTTTGTTCCTGGTCTCCTGCAGACGTACACAGGCTCCATCCTTGTCGCAGTGAATCCATATCAGCTGCTGCCCATTTACACTCCTGACCAGATCCGCCTCTACACCAATAGGAAGATAGGAGAGATGCCGCCACACATCTTCGCCATCGCTGACAACTGTTACTTCAACATGAAGCGCAACAACAAGGACCAGTGCTGCATCATCAGGTTTGAACTTCTTTCTTTATCATGAAACCAGATGTGTTTCTACTTGTGGTACCAAAGTTAAGAGCTTTGAAGACCATGTGAGAAGAAAGAAAGTAACAATGGTTTTCTGTGTGGCAGCGGAGAATCTGGAGCTGGGAAGACGGAGAGCACAAAGCTGATCCTGCAGTTCCTCGCAGCCATCAGCGGTCAGCACTCCTGGATCGAGCAGCAGGTCCTGGAGGCCACGCCCATCCTCGAAGGTTAACTTTCATCTGCTCGTTTCTATTTCCAGCAGCAAATTATTCGGAATCAAACGGTTTGTCCAGTCCTTTTCTGACAGCCGTGTTTTAAAACCGAGGATTTTTCAAATTCTTTACTTTAGTTTTCATGAGACAACCTCTATAAGTTTGATGTTTTGTAACACTTTTATTTTTTTTTTGTTGGTAATTTTGACTTAAAGGTTTACTAAAAACTAGAACAAATACAAAAGTCAAATCATTTAGATTTTGGTGGGGTTTTTTTTGCCAGTAGTTCATTCATCCAGTCCAGCTCAGAGTTTGTATTTCTGCTTTTCGTTATCAGCTTTTGGCAATGCCAAAACGATTCGTAATGACAACTCCAGTCGCTTTGGGAAGTATATAGACATCCACTTCAACAAACGAGGGGCCATAGAAGGAGCCAAGATAGAGCAGTACCTCCTGGAGAAGTCTCGCGTCTGTCGGCAGGTGAGACGTCAGACGGTCTCATTTATTTATCATCGTCCGTTAGAACAACACGTTACTCAGTTCGGCTTGTGCTGAACGCTGTAATCCGTTTGTCTTTACATAAAGTGTGACATTTAGAAGCTGGACCATGTTTGATTTTCATTATTCACCAAGTGTGGGGGCAGTTATTGATGGATGTTTGACTGAGTTTCATTCAGCTGACCTGAATGTTTTTCAACTGATGAGGCTGAAAATATTTAACATTGAATTGGAGTTGTTTTGTTTATAAAACAAGACACTGTACATTAATTTACATGTAAAGTTTTAATGTGAACATACCTTAGTTATTAACGTTAAAAGAAAAATACGAATTATTATTAAAAGAAAAGCTTACATTTTGCACTTGAATTGCTCTAAATGTTTTTATGTTTAATGAAGGACAGTAATGAGTCTAAAACAAATTTACACAAAGAAATAAAGTTTGCTTTATCATATAATATTGGATAACAACGACAAAGTGAATTGTAGCGAACACTCCCAGTGATTAACGTGTTTCTCTGTCCTGCAGGCTCCTGATGAGAGGAACTACCACATTTTCTACTGCATGTTGAGGGGCATGGCTCCAGAGATGAAAGCTAAACTGGGTCTGGGCCTGGCTGCAGACTACTCCTACCTCACCATGGTGAGGCTACAGCTGTGGCCATCAGATTGGTTATGAACGTGTTGACATTTGCAGATGCTGGAGCAGAAAGGTGGCTCTTCATGCTCACAAATGGTTGCCATTGTTGTGCTTCAAAAGAAATGTTCTAATTTCATAAATATAATAAACAAAAGCAACAAAACATCTTTTAAAACACATTTTTATGTGTACATGCAAAGAAACCATATGGAAGTGCCAAAATTGTGTCACTTTTGTAATCTAAGCCATGATAATAATACTTAACATCAGGGTTGTGAAGTATTATACAGGCTGTTTAAACCAGTGGTTCCCATCCCTGGTCCCTGAGGAACACCATCATTCGTGTTTTAGATGTTCCTCTGCTCCAACACGCCTGTTTCAATGGTTTAATTACTTCCTTGCCTTTGGCAGAAGCCTGTTAATCACCTTTTGTTCAAATCAGGTGTGTTGGAGCAGAGGAACAACTAAAATATGTAGGGTGGTGTTCCTCAGGGACCATGGTTGGGAACCACTGGTTTAAACTTTCTGTTGAGGGGACAGTATGGCAAAAAAAAAAGTTTTCTCTTTCAAATGGAAAAAAAAGGCTTAGATTTGTTTTTCTTGTAAATGACTGGATCCTGGGTGGCACGGTGATGCCGTGGTAGAGCTGCCGCCTCTCAGCAAGAAGGTTGCCAGATCAAATCCCTGACGGAGGGCCTTTCTGGTTGGAGTTTGCATGTTCTCTCCATGCTGCGTGGGTTTTCTCTGGGTACTCCAGTTTCCTCCCACAAACCCAAAACATGCATGTTGGGCTGATTGGTAACTCTAAATTGTCCCTAGGTGAGAGAGAGAGAGAGTGAATGGTTGTTTGTCTTGTTTGTCTCTATGTGTCCATGTGATGGACTGGAGACCTGTCCAGGGTGTCCCCTGCCTCTCATACTGTGATTGGACATGGGCACCAGTAACCCCCGCGACCTGAAAAGGAAGAAGCGGGTAAAGATAATGGATGGACGACTGCATACTAAAGTATTTATTAATAAAACAAACTTTGTAGACTTGAGAAATATCAAACAAACCAGCAGTGGAGTTTCCAGAACCAGTTAGGAATGATCTAAAACCTTAAGCTTTCTGTTTCTTGCGCTCTTCAGGGAAAGTGCACAGAATGCAACGGTCGTGACGACCTCGGCGATTATTCCAGCATCTTGTCAGCCATGAAGGTCCTCATGTTCACAGAGACGGAGAACTGTGAGATTTCCAAGCTGTTGGCTTCCATCCTGCATATGGGCAACTTGCGGTTTGAGGGTGTGTAAACAAAAAACCTACACCTGTCGCATGACTCACAGAGAAGTGGAGGATTTTAAAACACATTTAATGTTTCCTGCAGCTCGCACATACGACAACCTGGATGCCTGTGTGGTTGTGCGATCTCCTGATCTGATGACTGCTGCTTCCCTCATGGAGGTGTGTACCACAGCATAAATACAGTTTATCTACCGTATGTAGCTGCACGTTTTTGTTTGTTTGGTGTAAATAAACCCATTAACATCCCAAGTTTCCCAGGAGTGATGGTTCCAGCATGTTTACTCTGTGGTCACACCATTAGAAAAGAATAAACAAGTATGGCTTGCTTGGAAGGCTTAAGAAGCCTCAAAACTCCTTAAGAACATCTTCTGTTCGTAAAGTTTAACCTGAAGACTTCTGGAAACGTCCTTTCGACAGATGTTTTGCTAAAATAACCAGCAGCATGTTTGGAGAAAAGTCAAATACTGCATGTCGGCACGCAAACTTCATGTCAGCTGTGAAGCTCAATGATCAGAGTGATGGTTTGTTGCTATTTTAGAGTCAAAGGAGCTGGGCACCTCGCAGTCATTTAGTTTACAATGATTTATTTTGTATACTAAAATATTCTAGCATCAGATTTTGGTATTTTTAGATTAATCGTTGACCAAACAAATCAGTGTCCTGAACTCAGAATTACTCCAGGAAACACCCAGACCAATGGTTGAGTTTTAGAGTGACGCACAGTTTTATCTACTTTGCTTCACGACACGTTAAGTGAAGAAATAGTCGAGTTTCTTTCCCCTGATCTTTGTCTTTGTGTATCGCAGGTGGAGCCTAAAGACGTGATGGTGTGTTTGACCACTCGGACCCTCATCACACGTGGCGAAAGTGTCACCACGCCGCTGAGTGTGGAGCAAAGCCTGGATGTCAGGGACGCCTTTGTCAAGGTAATTATTATTTAATAACAGTAAAAACTTCATATAGGAATCCATTGAACTGTGCTGCTGGGATTGTTGTTTTAGATTAGTTATGGTTAAATCCATAAATCAACAAGAACTCCCTAGTTAATGTAGAACTGGTGTTGCTTGTACAAATTTTGTGAGGTTTATTAGGGATGTTATGCTATTTTTAACTGTGTCAGGGCTTAGTTTGAGCTGGATCCTGCCTGAACAGGATCCGGGAACTCATTTCGACAAGGTGCGTTCCAGTAACTGTTTGCTTGGATCCGGTAACTCTCAGGCTTACTAATAATAAAGTTATGAACAAATATGACTGCCTTGAATGAATAAAACTTGTGCTGGATTTGTAAACTGAAAATAATTACATAAACATTCATTTTAAACACAATAGCCACTTACGAGCTGCCTTAGGGGCTGAAACTTATGTCATTAGAAAAAAAAATTCCACCCCTAAAAGAGTGGTGGGGGTGAGTGCCGACCGAGCTAACCAGGCAGCCGTACGCAGCAGCAGCCATGAACAGACGGAGGGGGCACCTGGAGGTTTCACATGTGGAGATGGTCAACAACGAGCAGAGAGTGACTTCATCGGAGAAGAGTCGGGATCCGAACCGTCGAGTGGGGGGGGGGTAGGATGCTTGACAGAAGCAGAGTGTTTACAAATGTAGATAAACCTAGATGTTTAACAACTTGTTAAAACCCGCCCACTATTTGAGTTCCGCATCGATCGGTTTCCAAATAGAAAAAGCTTCATTTTACTGATGATTTGAATATCTTGATCCATGTGATTGCTGACACTTTGTGTTGTATTTTATCGTGCAGGGAATCTACGGGAGGCTGTTTGTCTGGATTGTAGATAAAATTAACGCTGCCATCTATCGACCTCCTTCTTGTGAGAGTAGCATCATAAGAAGATCTATTGGACTTCTGGACATCTTTGGCTTTGAGAACTTTTTCGTCAACAGGTGAAAATTGTGTTTACCTTTAAAAAACAAAACGAGGTGTGTGAAGTCGTTTCTTGTGGTCCATCGATCAATCGTCCCGTCCCTGCTGTAGTTTTGAGCAGCTGTGCATCAACTTCGCCAACGAGAACCTGCAGCAGTTTTTTGTTCGACACGTCTTCAAACTGGAGCAGGAGGAGTACAACCTGGAGGACATCAGCTGGCAGCACATCGAGTTCACGGATAATCAGGACGCGCTGGACATGATTGCCAACAAACCGATGAACATCATCTCCCTTATTGATGAAGAGAGCAAGTTTCCTAAGGTACGTCGTGTGAAACTCGTCATTCCAGAGCTGCTGTCAGATTAAAAATAAACATCTTTTAGTTCAAATCTTGAGATGGTCGAGATGGCAGCTTTTATCTGTCAGAACCTTTTCTTAAATGCTGTATTTAAATTTATTGTTATCAATTAAAAACTTAATTTATGTACCTTTTTGTTTTACAGGGGACAGATGCTACAATGCTGTATAAGCTCAACTCGCAGCATAAACTTAACTCCAACTACAGTCCTCCTAAAAACAGCTACGAAACCCAGTTTGGCATCCAGCACTTTGCTGGAATGGTGCACTACGAGTCCAGAGGTACCTCTCTACTCCAGTAGACATTTTAATCTTTGTTTTTTTTTTCTTCCCACCTTCAATTTGTGTTTCCTGGTCATAACTTGGATGTTTTATTGCCTTTATTTTCACCTAAGATTAAGCTTTATGTTAAGATATTTATATTTGTAAGGCCTGAATGGCCCTTAAACTCTATTTAAAGTAGTAGTGTCGACAGTGTGTAGCAGTTTACCGTTTTCCCTCATTTAAAATAAATTATTAAAAATAAATATTTAAAAAAAAATAGTTAAATTAACAAAGGAATAAAAATGTGATTACCGTATTTTCCAGACTATAGAGCGCACCCGAATATAAGCCATGCACACTAAATGAAAATAAATGAATAAATAACAGTTTTGTACATATACAGCCCCACTAAAAGCTGCGGGTGTCCACATCGTGACATGAGATATTTACACAAAGATTTTTTTTAAACTTTTAATTAAATACGTACCGGTGACATACACAAATACATACAGTAAATGTTTGTTCCTGAGCTCCTGCAAAATGTTTGTTTTTTGAAAGAATACAGTAGCCTACCAGGAAAAGACACTGATCGCTACGTTCATCTTCCTCCTGTGCACTAAAGCCACTGAAGTAGTCTTCTTCAGTGTGAGAATTGAACAGCCTCAGAAAAACTTCATCACACACGTCCTCAGTCTCTCTTTCGTTGTTGGAAAAAAATACAGCAGCCTAACAGGAAGTCACTGATCGTTATCTTCATATTCCTCCTGCTGCAAGCTTGTGCTTCACGGAGCAACAGTTGCTCTGTGCATGCAGGGGGGTCCCCCCCCCACATGCTTTGTGCTTGGGGGATTCCTCCCCTCCCTGTTCTCCCTTCCTCGTTTCATTGGTCCACTGTGACCTGTTCGGTAATTTTATTTAATTATTTTACCATTATGTATACAGGTAGTCTCACTGAGTCACGAGGACCCACCCCCCAAGAGAGACGTGTATTTGGCAGCTATATGAGCGCCTGGGTGCGACGAGGCTAAATGTTTTGGTGGCGTGAAGCTCGTTAGCCCGTTAAATAAAAATCCATAAATTAGCAGCGGTGTTCAAAGCCTGTGAAAAAAGTAGCAACTTATAGACCGGAAATTACGGTAATTGGTATTTAATTTGTCTTGTTTGTTTAACTTTGTTTCACTGTTTCTGCTGAAGCATGGAAGTTTCTTTGTTCGTGAAACATTGTTCTGTCAAACACCACCCGTGTACTCACTGAAGTCGCATCTTTTCTGTATTTTCTCTTCTTTCAGGGTTTCTGGAGAAAAATCGAGACAGCCTCCACACAGACATCATCCAGCTCGTCCACTCGTCCAAGAACAAATTCATCAAGCAGATCTTCCAGGCGGATGTTGCCATGGTAAGACCAGCAGAGAAGACACGTTTACATTTTTCCACACTTCTTTTTTTATGTCTTGTTCTGCTGTTTAAGGTCATCCGGTGGTAATTTCACTGGTGACGTTTACCTTCTCCAGCTGTTCTCCTCAGACTTCTTTTCTCTCTGCTGTTTTCTTTGTTTTGTTTTTTCCATTTTTACGTTTAACGTCAGTTTCTGTGTGGCTATCAGCAGCTCAGCACCCCCACTGCCAAGGTAAAATCAACATCCCGCAGTGTGCGTGCGTGTGCGTGCGTGCGTGCGTGTGTTTTTGCTTCAACGTTACCTAAAGTTCAACAATGTGACTGGCAGCGTTTCTGGTTCCCCAAGTTCCACTTCTTACTTCACAGCAGTAGTTTGTTGTTGCAGAAACCAAAGTGAATATAAAGAAGAAACATAAACTAAATGTAGTCGTTAGTTTCAGTACAGGGTTTCTCCTTTTAAAACAATTAAACAGATTAGTTAGATTTTATCTTGTATCCTGTGTTTGTGTGCATTAATTATAAAACGTGCACCCTGGTTTGTACTTTGTATCTGAATACATTTATTAAGTGTTGGTACTGATCACCTGGTTTCCCTCCACATACTGAGAAAAATAATCGTTTTTATTAAATATGTGGTCTGAGAGCTGAATCCTTGATGTTCACACAATATTTAAGCTTTTTTTGGACACATTATTATAATTTACGATTAATATTATTTGTTGGCGTGTTGAATTTATTTATGTTTTTTATTTAATCTAAACGTTTGGTTTTGTGGTGGATATGTACTGAACATGTACTGTGCACAGTGTTTATGCGTGTGTGTGTGTTTTATTTCAGGGTGTTGAGACGAGGAAGCGTTCTCCCACTCTGAGCAGCCAATTTAAACGTTCCCTGGAGATGCTGATGAGGACGCTCAGCGTGTGTCAGCCGTTCTTTGTCCGCTGCATAAAACCCAACGAGCTCAAAAAACCCATGGTCAGTGTCTCCGAGTCAGAAACTGACCTCTGCTGGACATGAACGGACTCGGTGTTTATCCTGAAAGACAAAAAAATATTCAAAACTATTTCTATTTTTGTATCTGAGCTAAACAAAGGGAAAAAAGTGCTTTTCTTATTGATACACAAACTAAAATATGATAAATTACACACCTCATATTTTTTACTGTATTCAAAGTTATGTAAAAGTGCTAATGATCTGAGGTAAAAATAATAAACTTGTGCAGGAATGATGCTGAACAGCTAACAGACCAAACAAAACTCTTGACATATTTTTAGTTTAAAAGTATCAAAGATGAGCGTCGTGTTTCTGTGCTCTTCTCAGTTGTTTGACAGAGAGCTGTGTATTCGTCAGCTGCGTTACTCGGGCATGATGGAGACCATCCGGATCAGGAGAGCAGGTTATCCCATCAGATACAGCTTTGCTGAGTTTGTGGATCGTTATCGAGTCCTGATGCCCGGCATCAAACCTGCTCACATTCAGGTCAGCCTCACCGCTTTGCTTTTATTTCTTTGTACACGCTCGAAAGATTGTGTTATGATACGGCTGAGTCGTCTGTCCGTCAGCAGTTTTCTTTTCAGCTCGACTCCTCGCACCTTTGAAACGAGTTTGATGAAACTTGGTGGGAAATATCCTGATCCATGCTCAATAATCCAGGTAGAAAAATCCAACAAAGTTAAGTCAGGTCCTCTGGATGGTTTCTTTTTGTTGATAGAGCTCCTTGGACTGATTATGTCTGATGACTATTTATAAGACAGAGTTTGTTGTGGCTCCTCGGACTGATGAAGTCTTTTGGACGAAAGACATTTCAACAAAAAGAAACCGTCCAGATGATCTGACTTAACTTTGTTGGATTGGTGGGAAATATTTTGATGATGCACATATCAGCATTTTGTGCTGCACCCTGTCTAACTGGAGTTATGACCCTTTGCAATGACATAACAAATGTCTAATTTTTTTAATTACATGGTGAAAACTCTTTAATAAAAACTTTTTCAAATGTATGTAGACTTGAGGCAAAAAAGTTTCCCCCTTCGAAAAAAAAACATGTTTTTCTGCCCTGCAGCACTTGTTTCATATCAAACTATTTAACTTTTATGAAGCGTTTCCTTACAGATTTCATGTCTGTGTAATGTAAGTTTTCCAAAAAGCAGAACTTCTAACTTTATTATTACTGTTTTTCTTTTACATTTTAATACTTTTGTTGGATGTAACTAGGACCCTGTGTACACAATTTTGTTCCACAACATGTACCACATGTGGTGGAATGACAAATGAAAAACCTTGATTCTTTGAATTTAATGTGTAATGCCTTTATTATCGTGTGAGTCGTCATTTTGACAGTTGTTTGGGTCCAGGCGGACCTGCGGGGGACCTGTCAGCAGATTGTCTCGGCCCGGCTGGGTAAACATGAAGACTGGCAGATCGGAAAAACTAAGATTTTCCTAAAGGTTGGTTATTCCATGTAGAAGGTACCTTCTCCCACAGAGAACACACAGTCAGACTGATTATCTTACTTGCAGAGGCAGCACCTAATAAACGTTGTCCTGTTTATAATATAAAACAAATTATAAGTCTTGTTGTGTCTTTGTGTTGTTGCCGGTCAGGACCACCACGACATGCAGCTGGAGATCGAGCGGGACGAGGCCATCACAGACAAGGTCATCCTCATCCAGAAGGCCGTGCGTGGACTTAGAGCGAGGCAAGCAGCTTCTCAAGTGCACTCCTTAAACACATTCAGAGACGCTGCACAGCCTGAAAAGATATTTTACCTTTTATCTGCAGTTTTTCTGAATTTTGAGCACCCTTTGGGCTTTTACTTTGAAGTTTGTGTTAAAATCAAAAGGGTTTTCAGAGTTGAGTCAAAGGAAACGTTAAAGATGTGCTTCAAGCAGCTTATTTACATACGTTATAGAGAAAGTTGAGCTGGAACCTGAGAAGCCTTAAACTACCGGCTGAGAAATATTAAAACTGCAAATCCATCATATCGTCTCAATTTAATGTCTACTATTCATAACTAAGGGCTGCATTATAACTGTTCTATTAAATATGTAAGAAAAGTAGTCTATACCATGTTCTGTTTTATTTCAGATTGAATTTGTAGAGGAATCTAACATTTTTAATATCTGAATGTGTATTTGAAACTCACTGTTCACCTTAAAAACAAAGTTTTTAGATTTTTTGGGGGGTTTGAAATCAAATTTTTTGTTTCTTTTTCAGGACAAACTTCCTCAGACTGAGACGTGCCGTGATTTTTGTTCAGAAGCTCTGGAGGGGTTATCGAAGCAGGAAAAACTACCAGATTGTGAGTCAAACAAGTCTTAAACTTAGCTTCTAACGTCTTCAATCTAATTTATTTTTTCATTCCTTGTGAAAGACGTTATCTTGAAAATCAGTAAATGTATAAAAATCTATTTTAAACTTTAAACCCACAATGATTGACTTTTGGAAAATGTTTTTCTCTTTCAGATGAAGTCCGGTTTCATTCGCCTGCAGGCGGTCTGCAGGTCGAGGAAGTACTACAGAAGCTACCGGATCACCCGCCACCGTATTACTCTGATTCAAGCCCGCTGCCGAGGCTTCCTCCTCCGACAGACGTTCTGCCGGCGCCTTCGAGCCGTGTTGACCATCCAGGCCTACACCAGAGGCATGATAGCCAGACGCCTCTGCCAGAGGCTAAGGGCCGAGGTAAATGGTTATTACGTTTATTATTGCTACGTATACCTCGTTGTCGACACTCCTGAAAGACAGGACTACTGGTTCTGAGGGCAAATTTAAACAATAAAGAAACGTAATTTGTCAAACATTTGATAGAGATGAATAAAACTAACATCTTGTTCACGTTATGCCTTAATAAGATGCAAATTTGGAGATAATTAAAAAGTCAAATTGCCAATTTTAGTTTGAAATGAATTATTCAAAAATGTTAAAGGGATCTCTGACTAGTTGGAACAATAAATCTTATCTGATAGAAATTTGCTTCTGCTATAAAAAATAAACAAAACTGGGCTGGTAATTTTTTTAATAGATTTTTTTTAAAATAACAGGGACGTTGCCGTGTTGTTTACGCTGCAATGCATTCTGGGTAAATGGCATAGACAGGTTGCTCCGTGAAACTTCATTCTACCTGGATCACAGAGCAATGCACAACCAGGCAGCACGACGGCTCAGAAGCAAGAAGGTCCTGGGTTCAATCCCTGGTTGGACCTGGGGTCTTTGTGTGTGGAGTTTGCATGTTCTCCTTGTGCTTGCGTGGGTTTTCTCCAGGTACTCCGGTTTCCTCCCACAAAACAAAAACATGCATGTTAGGCTGCCTTCAGGCCCAGGCCTCCCTTGCAAAAGAGATCTGTGATCTCAGTGGGATTAGCCTGGTTAAATAAAGGTTCATAAATAAATAAATAAACCAGGCTTATCACACAGCCACACATTAATCACTGGAAGTGCACACACGACTGGTTTGATGCTGCCCCGTGGGTGGAGGACGAACAGCGGATATTTGTTGGGGCACGCCGCAGCTTTAGCCTTTTTGCTTTAGCCTTTTCGCTTTAGCCTTTTCGCTTTAGCCTTTTCGCTTTAGCCTTTTCGCTTTAGCCTTTTCGCTTTAGCCTTTTCGCTTTCGCCTTACCAGCAGAACTGTACATCACAAGTTGATAATGTTAGATAGTTTCAACCCAATTATTGTGCATAATACAATATAGTTATACATTACAACTATATTGTCATACATTATACCTTTTTAGCCTGGACGCCTTGTGTTTTAGTCTCCACTGCAACCTACGTGCGTCATTGCCCCAGAATGCATTGTGTCTGTAAAATAATGGCGAGGTACTTGGGTGAAAAGTGTTACAAATACACAATTTTTGGAGTAATTAGGCATTTTACGTTTCACAAACTATTTTTAGAGAAATGCCATATTAAAACCAAAGTTTTCCAAAAGTCTGAGATCGCTTTTATGAAACAGTTTTGGTTGTTAGCACGTGGACTGTTTTTTGTTGTTTTTTTTAACTCTAATGTTCTCAAGTAGAAGTCTAATTTGATCTGTGTGAGCTTCTTTCTCTTCAGCCCTACTTTTCTGCTGCTTTCTTTCTGGACTGTTTTTGGTTTATTTGTGTGACTCTCTGCACTCATTACTCACAAGCTCTGCTGGAGTTAACCCTACCTTTTTTGTCACCAAAGCTGCTCCATGGGTTGCTTTTTTTTTTTACTCTCCTTTTGACACAAAACTAGTTTGTTTAGTCCAATCAGTGTGAAAATACTGATACGGAAAAAAAATGTGTTTTGTAACTTGATTTTTTTTTTGTCATTGTCATAGCTACATATGTAATGAACAAAAAACTTTTTATATGTACACAAAATACCTTTTTCTCTCAAATATTGTTCACAAATTTGTGTAACTAATCCATCCACCTCACAGGTGTGGCTTATCAAGATTCTGATCAGACAGCACAATAATTTCACAGGTGTGCCTTAGGCTGACCACAATAAAAGGCCACTGTAAAATGTGCAGGTTTTGAGGGAGAATGCAATAACGCTGACTGCAGGAATGTCCACCAGAGTTGTTGCTCATGAATTGAATGTTTTGCTCCACCATAAGTCGTCTTCAAAGGCGTTTCATAGGATTTGGCAATACATCCAACTGGCTTCACAACCACAGTCCACGTGTAACCAGCCCAGGCCCTCCACATTAGAGTTGCATTCAGGCCCAAAAAGTCCGACCCGGCCCCAGCCCATGGACATCATTTCCGAACCCGACCCCACAAATTAACAGTAATTACAGGTCTGAACCCCAAAAAAAAGTCATTTTTAATTAAGCTTTGACTGCTTATATGGTTATTAACGGTCAGCGGGCGTGTGTGGCTGAATTAAAGGGGCAGAAGATCTGAGCTGAGGGGGTGTTTGTCCTTTCATGGCCGTCAAAGCATTAAATCCCTCTCTGACATGTCTGCTTTGGGATCTCATCTGTTTGGGTCGTCGGCCGCGCGCATCCACTGAATGAACATCCATTTGGACAATGGATCGCTTCCTGGCAGTATAGTCCCATCTGAAGCTTAACTGAACTTTATTTTACCTCTTTCAAAGCCGGTCAGCTCGCGTGTGGTATGGCAAGCCATGTTGCCATCTAATTGGATCACGGCCAAAAACCCGACACTGTCCCGGCCCGCCCTAAATTCAGGTCGGGCCGGGCTTTGGGCCCGCGTTAGAAATGACAGCTCTACTCCACATCCAGTATCTTCACCTCCAAGATCGTCTGAGACCAGCCACCTGGACAGCTGCTGCAACAATCGGTTTGCATAAACAAATAATTTCTGCAAAACTGCCAAACCATCTCAGGAAAGCTCATCTGCATGCTTGTTGTTCTCATTGGGGTCTCCACTTGACAGCAGTTCATCACTGTAACTGACTTGAGTGGGTAAACGCTCACATTTGATGGCGTACAGCACAGTCCCCCGTCGACTCCTCCCAGGCAGGCAGCCACAGCCAGAGTGGTTCAAGACATCAAAGTTCATGCTCAATCATCCAGGTACAAAAATCCAATAATGGTCAGTCAGCTCATCTGGACAGTTTCTTCTAGGTGGAAAGACGTTTCGCCCTCTAGCCGGAGGGTTTCATCAGTTCCGCAAAAACAAATCTGTCCAGATGACTCAACTGACCGTTATTAGACATTTTAGTTACCAGTCAGCCTAACATGCATGTTTTTGGTCTGTGGGAGGAAACCAGAGTACCTGGGGAAAACCCATGTATGCACGAAGAGAACATGCAAACTCCACCCAGAAAGGCCCCGGGCCGGGATTTGATCCGACGATCTGCTTTCTTAGAAGCAGCAGCTGTACCAACTGCACCACTGTGCCATCCACCCCCCAATACAGTAAAAGTAAACTGCACATTTTAGAGTGGCCTTTTATTGTGGTCAGCCTAAGACACACCTGTGCAGTAGTCATGCTGTCTAATCAGCATCTTGGTATGCCACACCTGTGAGGTGGATGGATTATCTCAACAAAGGAGAAGTGCTCACTAACACAGATTTACACAAATGTGTGAAGAATATTTGAGATAAAAAGGCCTTTTGTGTACAAAGAGAAAGTCTGAGATCTTTAAGTTCAGCTCATGAACAATGGAAACAAAAACAAAGTGTTACGTTTATATTTTTGTAAACTCTTAGAGCCTGAAATACTGAGTAAAATGACCAAAATCAAAGCATTTAAAGACGCAAAGAGATTATTTCTGTAAAATTTCCTTTAAATAAATGAGTCAACATTGTTGTTTCAAAGTCTGGAGATCTACTTTACAAATTACAAGGAACGTGTTCTCCTGTTTTTAACTTTAGATATAATGGAGTTAAGTGTTTGTCCTTCCTCCAGTTTAAATTATAATTTGTATTTACCAGAATGTCTCCTTCTAGTTTGTAGTTGGATCATTAGAAAATATTTTCTTTTGGCTGTTATCATTTAAGTAAAACTAGGGAAACATCTGTTAGCTGTAAATTAAGTGGATTGATATTTATGTTCATTTTAAAATTCAGTGAAAGTGCCTGTTAGGTGCATTATTTCTGTAAATTCCACCGTCTGTTGTCTCAACTAAAATGTCTTAAGAGCCACGTTTTTTACAGCAACATGTCTTCATATAATTCATTAAGCCTTAAAATAATTGAGGTTGTGTGAAAAAGTACATTTCATCATGAATTAGTTTGTTTGACTCGTAAACTTATAATTTTTTAAATAGGAGATTTTTTTTAAGGCAGAATGAAGCAAAGGAAGTTATTAAACTTCTACCTTCTTCCCGTTGGTAAAATGTAAAAAAATAAAATAAAAAAAAAATCCTATTTTTATGAATTTGTTGTTTTTTCATTCAGATGTTTCACCTTTGTGTCTTTATTTTCTCTAGAAACTAATATTGTTAAAGATGATTATACTTATCGACCTTAAATGTTTTTATTGTGCTCTGTTTATATTTTGTAAAACAAATAAAGTGTTTTTTTAAAAAGGAAACTGTAACAAAACTACAATTGTTGGTGTGCATTCACTTTTTACAGGATTAGTATTTATTGTTTCAGATTTTATTTAAAATCCATTAATATTAGATCTGATTTAATAACACAAATAACCAGAAAATAAATATTATTAATTAAATCCCTTAAAACAAAACTCAAATTCAACCTTCAAAAAACTCTTGATACGTGAAATAAATCTGTCATACAATTATTTAACAAATTATCCCTTCATATGTTCAGGTTTTCCCTTTGGGATTAATAAAGTATTTTTGAATTGTTTTATTGTTTTAATAGAAAACATTATTAAATAAAAAAACGATTGTGAGCGTTTGTTTAAAAAAATCTGTAAACATTTTGTTGATTTATTAATTTTATCCATTTGTTTGTATATATTTGACAATGAATATAATTGTAATATATATTCAGTTAGTATCAAAGAGTTGTGATCATAAATGCATTTGGAATATTTATGAATTATAAGTTTTTTTATGACTCACACTGAGATGTGGAAAAAAAAACATAAAATCAAAGTTGTTTTGAAAAATGTTGGTAAAGACCAAAAAAAGCAACAAGAAGCTTAATAATGAACTTTTTCACTTCAGCTTAACCATTTTTATTGCTGCAATTAAACTATGATGTGAACATCTCAAATTATTTTAAATAAAAGCAAATTTGAAGTTTTAAATAACGTTTTTAAAACGGTAAAAACTAGTGAAGGTGCTCATGAATCGCTCTTTAACTGAAAAGGGGATATGAGTTTAAATCAAGAGATTTTGAGTTTATTTGGGTGCACAACTTTCTTTAAACAAATCTTTATTAATTTTTTGCTATCAAAGCTTTTTACTTAGTTTATTTTTCCTTAAAGCAGCTCGCAGACCCAAACTCACATTGTTTTATTTTACTAACTTGTTGCGTTCTAACAGAAAAGACTAAAACCTCCTCCTGTCTGCCTCTGTGTACCCATGTTCCTTCTGGTTCCTCCCCTCCAAGCGGCAGCATCGGCTGGAGGCAGAGCGCCAGCGCCTGGCCGAGGAGGAGCTGCTGAGGAACCAGATGACGATCCGGCGGGCCAAGGCCGAGGCTGAACGGAAACACCAGGTGAGGCTCGACCAGCTGGCCCTGCAGCAGGAGGAGAGGGAGCGGGAGGAGAAGGAGGAGTCGAGGAGGAAGAAGGAGCTGCTGGAGCAGATGGAGAGGGAGAAGGAGCGGCCCGTTGACCACTCGGACATGGTCGACCAGATGTTCGGTTTCCTCGGGGACTCGGGACCATTACCGAACCAAGATGGGCAAGGACCAGCTGGTTTTGAGGTACGTGTTGATGTTTTTATTCATCCATAAACGTTTGACTACAGTTTCATTGAGCAGCCCTTCAGGGGAATAATTAGTTTATCAATGGAAAAGATTCATTCATTCAACCTTTATTTAAAGAAGTTAGTCTCATTGAGCCACGAGGACTCCTTTACAAGAGAGACCTGGTTCAAACAAACACAGAGGTACACACAACAACAAACAGTCACATAAAAGCATATAAATTGACAAGTAAATCAAAGTAGTGATAAAAAATAAAAACGTTCTACATTATAATACGGTGTAAAATTACTAAGAACAGGAACATGTCTGCGTTGGTTTTTGCCATGAACTTAGCAGTTGTTTGAAGCCACTTAGAGAGATCAAGGTCGAGAGCTTCAGATCTTTTTGCAAGATATTCCAGGAAACAGAAGCGGAGTAGGAGAAGGCCCTTTTGCCTAGTTCAGTCTGCACTGCTGCAGGTAATGATGTCTTGGGAGTGCACACTGTAGCTGCACTCACAAAGTGACATGTAGGAGGAGATGTATGAAGGCAGCAGACCAAGAAGTGATTTAAAGATAAAAATGTACCAGTGAATACAGGGTGGAATGGTGGGTGCGATGGTTACAGACAGTTATGAATCTTAGCGTGCTGTGATGGGCAGCATCCAACAGCTGCAGAGAGCTTGTAGGGGCGTTCATGTAAATGATGTTACCATAGTCAATGGTGGGAAGGAAAGTTGCAGTTACAAGGCATTTCCTAGCATTCAAACTTAGACAGGTTCTATTTCTAAAAAAAGAAACCCAATTTTAATTTCAATTTCTTTATCTAGTTTTTGATATGAGGCTTAAAAGAGAGATGTGCATCGGCCAAAATTCCCAAGTATTTGTAAGAATCAACAAACTCAATAGGAACACCATTCGAAGATAAGGTAGAAGGAAGGACTGCTGGTACCAACGTCCTGTTTGAAAACAAGATCCCTTTGGTTTTATCAGCATTTAACACCAGTATGAGATTAAACAAATCTGACTGGATGGTGTCGAATCCAGACTGTAAAAGCTGGAAAACCTTAGCAGCAGTTTTAGCTCGACAATAAACAACGGTTTCATCGGCATAGAAATGTAAGGATGCATCAGGGGTGATCTGACCTACAGTACATTACTTATGTAGATTGTGAAAACAGTGGGTCCTAAGACTGAGCCTTGTGGTACACCAGCTGGAAGTGGTACCATTAGATGAGGATGATGAGGATGAAGGTCAGAGTTTTTTACTTTCTGTTAACAAAAGAACTCAAACTTAAAGCTCTCACATTATTTTCATAAGCTCCTCCAAAATATTTACACTCCTCATTCAGTCTGGAGGCAGATCACATTTCCGACCTCCCAAATGCTCTAAATAATATTCACTCTCATTCAGCTTCTTCTCAGTCTTTTAAGTTTTCCAGAGGAAGTGATGTCACCTGTTTCCTCAGGACTTGGAGAAGACGCCTCGAGGTGAGGAAGCAGAAGAGCTGCTGAACGAAGCTCCTCCACTTCCTGACGAGGACGAAGAAGACTTGTCTGAGTACAAGTTCTCCAAGTTTGCTGCCACCTACTTCCAGGGTGTTTCCACTCACTCCTACATCAGACGGCCGCTGAAGCAACCTCTGCTGTTTCACGAGGATGAAGGAGACCAGCTGGTGAGAGCGACCAGCTCGAACCTCGACTCGAGTCTGTTTCAACCAGAAAAGATGTTTCTGTTCTAGTTACGAGATCTATGAAGATCTATGTTGGTCACAATATTAAGGAGAAAAATGCTGGTTTTTTTCATGTACCCTTTATTTATCCAGGTAGTCTCATTGAGTCACGAGAACTCATTTTCAAGTTGATGCTTTCCTCTGAGAGCAGGCCTCATGGATTTGTCTCAAGTTATTCTGGAACAAGTTTTCTGTCAAATAAAAAGAAATCAAATTGATTTTAAAACTAGAAATGGCACATTTTACTCACAGTACATGTTTAACTTTATGTTTATTATAAAACGATGTTTGCGCTTCATAACACGTAAAAATATGTTTTTCTTCTTTAAAGATTAGATTTTTTTAAATTTGGAGAAATCCACTGTCAGTGTTGCGATACATTTCAAAGTTCATACTTGTGTGAAACAGTTGAAAATTAATAGTTTTTGTGTTTGTATAAGTTTTAAATGAATCATTTTATATCCAAAGCTGCTGCGCCTCATGCATCATTTTACTACAGGAGCTCACGCTGTAGCCTTGTTGTTTTACAAGTCGTTATAGTTTTTGAACGTACTTGTTTGATTTGTTGCTTTTTTTATTGCACTGAAGTGAGTTTTTCCAAGATTGAGGACATGTTTTATTTTTTTGAAAATGGAGCATTATGTCCTCACATCCTAAACACAAATTTTCTAATGAAAAATGTGAGGTTGATGTTAACAATGTTTTATCACCGTGTTATTAGGTAAATACTGTCAAGCAGCTACTCTCATTTGATCCACTCTGACCTGAAAATCAAATGTAAACAAACTGCAGGTTGACCTTATTTATGCTTTTCTTGTGACACAACCCCCGTCGTGTTCTGCAGGCAGCGTTAGCTGTGTGGATTACCGTGTTGCGGTTTATGGGGGATCTTCCAGAGCCAAAATACCAAATGGTCATCAACGACGGCAGCGAAAAGATCCCAGTCATGACAAAGATCTATGAAACCCTCGGGAAGAGGACCTACAAGAGAGAGCTGCAGGAGCTGCAGGTGGAAGAAGAGGTGAGGCGAGGATGGTTAGTAGAGCTGTCATTTCTAACCTGAGCCCGGTCCCGCCCGACCTGGGTTAGGGCCAGACTGGGTCATAATAATGTGCTTAATGTGCAGACCAGTTCGGTGTCGGGCTTTTGTTTGTGTCAGCCGTCGCGCGCCGCTGACGATCCAATTATATGGCACATGGCTTGCCGTACAACCAGCCACACGTGGCCATTTGACTGCGCGCTGACCGGCCTTGAAAGAGGTAAAAAGTTCAGTTAAGCTTCAGATGGACCACTGCCAGCGATCCATCAGCCCAAATGGACGTTCAGCCGCTGCACTCAGCGGACGTGCGCGGCAGATGACCCAAACAGGTGAGATCACAAAATATCTGACATGTCAAAGCAGGGTCCGTGTCTGAATAATGCAGAATGCAGGCAGAAGCAGGGGAAGCATTTAATGCGCTTTGATGGCCATGAAAGGACAAACACCCCCTCAGCTCCAATCATCTGCCCCCTTTAAATCAGTCACGCGTCCGCTGACCGTTAATAACTATATAAGCAGTTAAAGCTTAATAAAAAATGTTGGGGGAGGTTTGGGGTTCCGTCATGTAATTACTGTTAATTCGTCGGGTCGGGTGGGGTTCGGAAATTATGGCTACGGGCTGGGGCCAGTCAGATCTGATTTTTTGTGCCCGAATGCAACTCTACTGGTCAGTGTTTCATGTTAACACCCGTCAGGTTTCTTAAAGGTTTCTATAATGTGTTTGTGTCTACAGAACAGCTCCACGGACACTCAGAAGAGAAACAGCGTCAGACATAAACTGGTGTCTCTGACGCTGAAGAGGAAATCAAAGATCACAGAGGAGGTGAGGCTCGTATCAGCCACAGCTTTTAGAGACATGAATATTGAACGTGTTGTTTTTGTTTTTTCACGTCGCTTGTTGTTAGGCTGCAGTCAAGTTAAGAGTCAGAGGTAACAAAACTAGTAGACAATTGAAAGAACGTTTGTTTTGCCGTTACTGTATCTTATTTCATATACAGTAGTTCCTCATTTATCGTGGGGGTTTCCATAACCACCTCCTCCCCTCACGATAAGTGAAAAACCGCAAAGTAGGGGTAGTAGTAAGTACCAGTTTATTTTAGTATATATATATATATATATATATATATATATATATATATTACTGTATATATATATACTGTATATATAAAGGTGTTTTAAATCCTTCCTACCTTCTTGCAATATTCTAAATAATGTTTCTAAACTCTAAACGCTCTAAAAGAGCACAGAATGTCATGATTTCATTTCTCTGCCATCTGCCAGTGCTCTTGGCCACGCCCACTTCTCTGCTGCAAAGAGGAGATATGACACAGCTGCAGGAGGAAGCTTCTCCTGCCGCTGTGGGCTGCACACAAGTGCAGCAGGTGCTAATTTATTTTAAATAAACAATCCATGCCGATCATGCGGCTCATCCGTCAATCAGCCAGTTGCGTGTCATGTCCAATTTTACTTTGAAAAACCACGAAAGAGTCCGCGAAAGTCCAAACCGCGAAGTAGCGAGGGACTACTGTACAGGTATATATTTATCATTTTTCGTTTGTTGTAAGTCCATCAGGTGTTAATGTAAACTTAAATATAAAAAATTAAAAACAAGAGTTGAAGGTTTCCAGGATGATGTGAACTTTTCAACACCTCTAAAGTTGTAAAGTTTTATATTCCAACCTGTTTCAGGTCACCAGGCGGCTCACGGAGGGCAGCGATTATGTTCTGCAGGGGAACAGCATGCTGGAGGACCGACCCACCTCTAACCTGGAGAAACTTCACTTTATTATTGGAAACGGCATCTTACGGCCGGCCCTCAGGTCAGCATCTTACTGTATGACGTCATCTCAGGGAAACACAAAGAAAAATACTCATGACAATCAGTGTAAAGTTTTAAGGAGGCACCGCGATGTGAAGAAAAGTGAAGAAGTATGTTTTGTTAATCAGTTGCTTTTGTGTTTCAGAGATGAGATCTACTGTCAGATCTGCAAACAGCTCAGCCAGAACCCATCCAAAAGCAGCCACGCCCGGGGCTGGATCCTTCTGTCGCTCTGCGTGGGCTGCTTCGCCCCCTCAGAGAAGTTTGTCAAAGTAAGAGCGTGTAACGACCAAGTTTCATTTGTTCGTCTGTTTGCCCGGTGAAACTTTATTAAACACGGACAACATAAAGTGGGGTTCAGTTTACAGCTGATATTTGGGGTTTGAACAGGAAGTGAAACGAGCCAATAAAAATATTTTTAAATCTGGTAGATGGCTGCCGGCCATGCTCAGGACTGAGAAGATGTCTGTCTGTTCTGCTTTCATATAAAATATGAAGATTCTTTCTTCTGTTTCACACAAAATAAATCTGACATTTAAATGTCTTCTGTGATGATTTGGTGAAAGTTTTCTCTCTTCTTTCTGTCAGTATTTACGGACCTTTTTGAAGAACGGTCCTCCTGGTTACGCTCCGTACTGTGAAGAACGACTGAGGAGGACTTTTGTCAACCGAACACGAACGCAGCCGCCGTCCTGGTTGGAGCTGCAGGTACCGGACTGTGAGAGCTGCGGTCTGCTCCCTTCAAACCTGAAACGCTCTGTAAAGAGCAGAAGAATCTGATGATAAATGTTTTTACCTGTGCAGCACATGTTCAGCTGATGAAAACTTTGAACTCCGTTTGTTTCCTTCAGGCCACGAAGTCAAAGAAGCCCATCATGCTGCCGGTGACCTTCATGGACGGCACCACGAAGACGCTCCTCGCAGACTCTGCCACCACAGCCTTCGAGCTGTGCAACGCTCTGGCAGACAAGATCAACCTGAGGGATCGTTTCGGCTTCTCGCTGTACATCGCTCTGTTTGACAAGGTGTGATCTAAACTAAAACTGCCAACTTGTACATTTATTTCTACCGTGTGATGTCCATACAACAAACACTCGACTCGCGTGACGGGGTCATCTTTCCGTCAGGTGTCGTCTCTTGGAAGTGGCAGCGATCACGTCATGGACGCCGTCTCGCAGTGTGAGCAGTACGCGAAGGAGCAGGGCGCGCAGGAGAGGAACGCTCCCTGGAGACTGTTCTTCAGGAAGGAGATCTTCAGCCCCTGGCATGACCCCGTCGACGACTACGTTGCCACAAACCTCATTTACCAGCAAATCGTCAGAGGGGTGAAGTTTGGAGAGTATCGCTGCGAGAAGGTGAGCCCCCAACATCCTAACGAGGACGTTTTTTTTACCTCTACCTGCTGCTTTTCTACATGTTTAAGTGTTTTGGTGTTGAGCTGATGCGAGTTGTATTTGTACAAGAACATCATTTTTTTTTTAATAATCTAATCATCGATAAGGACTCTATTTTTCAAAACATCCTGAGCACCTGAATTATTTATTCACTAAAGAGAAAAGAGTCGACAGTTGCTCAGATGATTAATTACGGACTAATTTTTTTTTTAACTACATAAACCCCACGCTGCTTGTTGCAAAGAGTCTACAGTGTAACGTGTATAAAGTGTGATATATACATTCTTTAGACATCTACGGGTTAATACACGCACACAGGATTCTAGGTTCTAAAGATGAAATGACCTCAGAAACTCTGACAAAAAAAATGAACAAAGACAGCATTTATTGAACAATTTAACATAACACCTTCTTCTTCTTCTTTCGGCTGCTCCCTTCTTCTGGGGGTCACCACAGCGAACTCAGTCACACGAAGACTTGGCAACTGTTTTTACGCCAGATGTCCTTCCTGACACAAAGACCGCCGCGCTACCACAGCCCTCTGTGTGGAGCAGAGCTGCTAACTAGGGCGCCAGGGGGAGTAGATGGTGGGGGTTAAGGGCCTTGCTCAAGGGCCCAGAGTGGGGCAATTGAGGGTGGAGGCAGGTGTGGGTGCTTCACCTATCCCACCTCTATTTTTTGATGTTGTCGGTACTGGGAGTTGAACCGGTAATCTTCCCATCACAGGTCCACCTTCTCTAACCTCTGCACTACCACTCCCTTAGAGCTTCTTATTTAACCCCTGGTTCACGCTTCAGTTTTGTCTTTTTTTCAGTCATTTTAATCATTTTCTTGATTTTAGTGTCTTTGAATCCCCTTAAATGTCACTCATGTTCAATCAAAAAACTAAAAAAAAATACCTGAGGGCTATAAAAATCTTTAAAAACAAAGTTTAAAATAAAAAGTTCAGAGCTCTGAAAAAAATGTTCAACGACCCAGTAGTATCCAAAAATGTTCAATCTGGTCCTCTGGACATTCAAAAAAAAAAAAAGTTGTCCTCTTTAGTATTATGATTTTCTCTGATGGTTGTCAGCACCAAACTGGTTGATCCACTCTGAGAAGGTGCTATTTAAGAGACTGAGCTGAAAACAGCACCTCAGACTGAGGAAGTCTCTCGGATGAAAGACGAAACGTTTCTACATTTTTTTGCTTTGTTTTGTTTTTTGTTTTTTTGAATGTCCAGAGGACCAGATTGAACTTTTTTGGATTTTTCTACCTGGATTATTGAGCATGCATCAGGAGACCCAGTAGTATATTTTTTCAGTTGGCATAGTTGTTGATGTTCTGGTTCACCACAGGTGAAGTTATGGCATCCAACTGGTTCCTGGCTCATCAGTCCAGAGGTAGCTCAGCCTTCAACAGTCCGTCTGAATCAGAGTTTAACTTAAAAACCAACCGGAGAAATCAAAAGAAAAGAAATGGACATAATCTCCTCTCCAGCACCTCTTGCAGTCAACTTTGGAGTAAAACTCCAGCTCTACTCTTTATTCCTTTCTTCACCTTTGCATGTGTGGCTTGTATTCATTGTTCTGGAACTTTTTTATTTTCTCTTTTTCTGCCGGAGTGTACGTTTTTCTGCCAACAGCACCAAAACAAAAGAAAAACATTTATCCGTCCCTCGTTTATCGTATGGGATCTGTACCCTGAAGCTCCGCAATAAGTGAAAAACCACGAAGTAAGGATACGGTAGTTCAAGTACAGTAAACTTTATATTAAGGCTTTATAAACCCTTCCCACACTCTTGGAATGTTCTAAACTCTTAAACCTACGTCATTTTAACAACACGATACTAAATTTTACTGACTAGCGCTGCAGAACAGCAACAGCTCTGGTTCTGGTCCAACTCTTTGTTTTTTTTTTCTGACTGTTCGTTTCTGCAGACCTGTCCTGCAGCAGTGAAGCCCACACATCGGTCCTCTAAACTCTTAAACCTACTAATGTTAACAACATATATACAGTACTTATATGTAAATTAGCTACAAAATTTTACTTACCAGGCTCTGCAGTACAGGAGCGGCTCAGTTCCGGTCTGACCCGATGGATGAAAAAAGTCCCGGTACAGCATGACTGAAGCCCACTGCCCCATCCAGCTTGATGTGCACGTGCTGCTGCCCAGGATTTAATCAACCACCTCTGGCCTGGTCCAGACCAGCACCGCGCGACCAGAACCTGACTGAACCCTGTCGTCTGCAGCTCCCAGGATTCGGGTCACACTGAGTCCAGATCTACTGCGACTCACCTGTGAAGATGCAACTTGAAGGAAGATCGTCAGAATTATTTGTGACTTTCCTGCCAGTCCTGTGAGCTGATCCTTACACAACTTCTGACTTTGCTGCAAAACTTTCCCTCCATTTGCAGAAAGCAGCAGTTGAAAGAGCAGTGTTGACTTCTGGGAAGTGATGGCTTCTGGGTAACATAGTTTTTTAGACTGGCAAAACGGTGAAGGCTTAATGAAAGAAAACTACAAAATGGCGGCACATTTTTGGGGGGGGCGGGAAATATTATGTACACGTAAATACTTTTAAAAAAATAGAGAGAGTCCGTGAAAAACGAACCGCGAAGTAGTGAGGGACTACTGTAGGTTAAAACCAGGTGGGTTGCATCAGGAATAAATGCAAAAAGTTTAAAAAAGTAAATCATGGAGGCAACAAAGACAGAACAGTCTGAGCAGGATGGACAGCAGCAATACAGATGTGTTGAAAAGCTGCGTTATTATCTTCAAAAACATAAAAGTCAATTAAAAAAATGTATATTTCCCCCTCGTTGGTGAGGCGTTGCCCAATTGTCCCCGTGGACGAACCGCCCTGATCAAAGGATTGTCAGGAACTGGAAACATTTGTTTTGGATTTAAATCAAACAAAATGTCCGCTATTTTATTATATTCAGTTCTTAAATTGACAGAGAAGTCAAATAAATGTGTCTTGATGTTAAACTGTGTTTGTTTCAGGAGGAAGATCTGGCAGAGCTGGCCTCTCAGCAGTACTTTGTGGATTACGGCTCTGAGATCCTCCAGGATCGTCTGCTCAGCCTCATCCCATCCTACATCCCCGACAGAGAAATCACCTCCACAAAAACCACAGAGAAGTGGGCTCAGCTCATCATCAGCACCCATAAAAAGGTACCACAGGTGCCATTGCACCCCAAACCAGCACTTGTTATTAGGCAGTAACAAAGCTGACCTCACCGTGCAGGGATTACACAACAAACGGAGGCCGAACACACAGAAGGTGAAGGAGGATGTGGTGGATTTTGCTCGGCTCAAGTGGCCTTTACTCTTCTCACGTTTCTACGAGGCCTTCAAGTTCTCCGGTCGGTAACGTCCACTCCATGATAAACAACGTTGGACGTACTGATTTTTAATGAAGGCCTCTGCTCACAGGGCCCAGTCTTCCTAAAAATGACGTCATCGTGGCAGTAAACTGGACAGGAGTTTACTTTGTGGACGAACAGGAGCAGGTTCTTCTGGAGCTGTCGTTCCCAGAGATCACAGCTGTGTCCAGCAGCAGGTACGATGACAGCGTTTTATTAAAGCGACAACAGATGGTCCCCTCCACTGCATACACAAACAGTTTCGTAAACATCTGTTGAGAGGTCTGAGGGCTTAAGGTTTTATTTACTGTCCTCTGAATTCAGAGTTACATTTATTCACGTTTAGATTAATTTAAAATGATTGATATTCACCTTATTCCTCGCCCCCATGCTGTCTTGCGTGAATTATGGGCGCGACTTTTGGCACGGACCAGAACCAGCTTTTGTTTGTGTGAACATTACGAGCTAATGTAGTTTCTCCTATCACTGTGGATTTAATTTAAACATGTAGGAACACCACCTGTCAGAGCTCCAACAGGACAATATAATCATACAGCTGCCTGCTGGGGACGAGGGATGGAGGACGACCTGAAGAAGTGGCTGCAGATTACATCTACCAGCATACTTAGTTGAAGAGATGAACAACCTGAAAAGCTCTGTGGTGTATTAGTATCTACACAATAATACAGTCAGCCACATTTTGTTCAAAGAGATGGGACACAATCTTATTGACCTTAAAGCAAACACAGAGCCCAGCCAAAGCCTTAAAGTCCTCCATCACTGAGAAAATTATAATACTAAAGATGAACAAATACTATAATTTGTGCCCTCCATACACCTGAAATCATACCTGATGTTCTTGTCAATGTTTTCAATCCTTCTGAGGATCCGGCGTCTCTTCTTCAGTGGTTTATTGAAGTCTAGACACAAAGTAGGATGCAGGTTTTCTTCTGTCGGCCATTTGTCAACGTGAAATGAGCTCACATCCAGCGTTTTGGTTGGTCTCTTCAAGTTCACATTTTTCAGTCACTTCCTCATCTGTAGGTAGGAGATGGAAACTATACCACTTTTCACAGGAACACTTTCTTTGTTTTGGGTCCGTGTTCAAAACTCTGTTGTTGTAGCCACTGATTTAGTTTGGTCTGGTTGTTCTGCAGCCCTGAACACAACAGGTACCTGAACTCAGCACGGCTATTTTAGTAAACTTTACATTTAAATAAATGTGAACAAAACAAAAACAGTGTTTTTATCTGCTGAACTGAATGAAAATTACCTTCAAATAAACCACGGTCCGTGCTTCACTACCATGGTTAACTAATGCTTCCTGCTACTTCCTGTCTGACAGGAAGTTGTACCCATATTCATTTATACAGTAGAGCCCCCAGGAACAAGGTGGATAACTTTTAAATTGTTATTTTTAAAAGGTATTTTGTTCAAACTAAATTTTTAATTTGCAGAGGAGGTAAACTCCAGGGTCAGAGTTTTACGTTGGCCACCATCAAAGGAGACGAGTACACGTTCACCTCCAACAACGCAGAGGACATCCGGGACCTGGTGGTCACCTTCCTGGAGGGTCTGAGGAAGAGGTCCAAATATGTGGTGGGACTGCTGGATTGTCCAAACCCTGGTGAGCTCCGGTCTCGGCCTAGAACAGGTCCTGCTTTTATGAGCGGCGCTGTAATGTCTTTGATTCTGCTCCGGCAGTGGGGGTAGATTCCACCTTCCTGAGCTTCTCTAAGGGGGATCTGATCATCCTGGACGAACACGACGGAGAGCATGTGATGAACTCGGGCTGGGCTCACGGCATCAACGATAAAACCAAACAAAGAGGAGACTTCCCTGCTGACTGTGTCTACGTGCTGCCCACCATCTCCAGGCCACAGTATGACATCGTGGTTAGTGTTGCAGAACAATAACCAGCTGCTCCGTCTCTCTTCAAAGAGCTCATTCTTGTTTTTATTGAAAAGCTTCAGAGGTCTAATGATGCCTTCACTGATGTCGGTTTTTTAACTTGCTCTGGAGTTGAGGTGAAATAATAAAGACTGTCCTTTGTTAAACTCTGCACATGATTCAACGTGGAGCTGGTGCTGGCTTTAATCCGCATCACTTCCTGTTTGTCTGTCCCAGGCTCTGGTGACGATGACTCCAGATCAGAGGAGAGAGTCCATCAGTCTGTCTCAGATGAGTCTTTTGGAGCAGGACAAACCGAAGGCCTACACCCTGGAGGAGTTCTCCTACGACCACTTCAGGTGCAAGTACCAAATGTTTCTCACCAAGAAAGCACGTGGAGAGGAGGAGAGCGTGACGCGTGTTTGTTTCCAGGCCTCCTCCAAAGAGCACTCTGAGCCGCGTGATGATCTCTAAAGCTCGAGGGAAGGAGCGTCTGTGGAGCTGCAGCAGAGAGCCCCTCAAACAGCCTCTGCTGAAGAAAGTCCTGGTCCATGATGAGCTCTCCCAGGAGGCCTGCCTGGCCTTCACAGATATCCTTTGTTTTCACTTCTCTGTTCGTCACCATAAACACGTTTGCTCAGCGTTGGAGCGAAAACGAGATGAGAATCAGGATGAGAACATACCCAGATGTTTGTCTCCCTCTGCTTCCCGTTACTGACGTCCTTGACGGTGTCCGTACCTGTGATGAAGTATATGGGCGACTACCCGTCGAAACGAGCGCGCTCCGTCAACGAACTCACCGATCAGATATTTGAAGGAGCTCTGAAGGCAGAGCCGCTAAAAGATGAAATCTACTGTCAGATTCTCAAACAGCTCACAGAGAATCATATAAAGTACGTCTCTAACGCAGATTGTCAGCACCTGCCTCTGATTTTCTTACAACTGTTCAGTAATAATCTTGTCTCGTTGTTTGATTTTTAATTGGAGAAATTAACAATTAAAATAAGCTTATTAAAAACATCAAAGTTCATTCCCAATAATCCAGGTAAAAAATCCAACAATGTTCAGTCTGGTCATCTGGATGGTTTCTTTTTTTTGTTGAGACGTTTCGCCCTCTATCCGAAGGGCTTCATCAGTCTGAGGAGTCACAAACTGCTTTCCCCACTAAGCAGTACACTCCTACAGTGGACCAACCAGTTTGCTGGTGATAAGATGGTTTCTGGGGGCTGTCCTGTAGAAGTGTACTGCTTAGTGGAGAAAACAGTTTGTGACTCCTCAGACTGCTGAAGCCCTTCGGATGGAGGGCGAAACGTCTCAAGAAAAAAAAGAAACTGTCCAGATGACCTGACTGAACATTGTCACATATTCAGCAACTAGTTTTTATATAACGAAACTGGAGCCCAGTTTCTGTTTGAAACCCTGCAGTATGTGTGCAGGTACAGCGAGGAGAAGGGCTGGGAGCTGCTGTGGCTCTGCACGGGTCTGTTTCCTCCCAGTAACATCCTGCTGCCTCACGTCCAGAAGTTCTTCCAGGCCAAGAAACATCACCTGCTGGCTGCGGACTGCATGCAGCGGCTGCAGAAAGCCTTACGGTCCGTCTCCACGTCCCCCGTCTTCCATGTTGGTTTCTGCAGCTGCCTCATTGCTCCTCTGTGTTACTTGAGACAGAAATGGATCCAGAAAGTATCCTCCTCACCTGGTGGAGGTGGAGGCCATCCAGCACAAAACCACCCAGATCTTCCACAAGGTTTACTTCCCCGACGACTCAGACGAGGTCAGTATCGTCCCGTTTGTCATTTTCAGCCTCGTTTTTGTTGCACCTTAAATATTAACTCTTCCTTTTGGTCCAGCTGTTGCTTTCTAACAAACACACTTGTTTAAATAAAATGCTGGGACGTTTATCTTTTACAACGGTTTAAGAGTATTTTAAATTTAGAAAAACTCTTATTTAATTTGTTTTCATACATTTAAGAGAGTAATTTTGATGAATTGCTCATTTATATTATAAATATTCTGTTTGAGCTGTGATGATGGTTGGAAAAGTTCAACTCTTTAAATTTTTATTTCAAGATTAATACCGTATTTTTCGGCCTAAATGTCAGTTTATTTTTCATAATTTACATGCCCTGCAACTTATACACTGAAGCGACTTATTTATGGATTATTTCCCATATTTATTAACTTTTTTTGGCTGAGATGTGACCGTTTTCATTAATTCTGACTGAAAATATTAAACATTAACATTTTCAGCTGCTAGATGGCACTCGAGTTGTATGGCATGCCGTTGTGTCATGTAGAAGTGGCTATTAATGACAATTGGCTTGCCATGGAGCTGCCCCGGTGAAATGCAGCTGATTTGACCATTGAAGTGCATTTATTAAGTAAAAGTTCAACTGAGACACACGTTTGATATGATGTTGAGCAAACAAATAGTTGTTTTAGGTGCTTATCTTGTTAAATTTTGAAGAAATGCACACTGAGTCCCCCCCGTGCACGCTCCTACTTCCGCGTATTAGCTTTTGAAAATGTAATTAATTTGACCGTCAAAGTGCATTTATTAAGGAAAAGTTAAACTGAGACACACCTTTCCTATAACTTGGAGCAAACAAATAATTGTTTTTAAGTGTTAATCTTGTTAAATTCTCGTTAAAGTCCTCTCGTGCACGCTCCCGCGGCCGCCATTTGGCAGCCAATTGATTTTTGGCACAACACCGGCCCACATTTCCGGGTTGTCAGCAGTGACGCATAATAGATGCGACGTATACGGCGAAGCAACATATTCATAGATTTTTCCACTTTTAGATATTTATGGACTGATGAGACATGTACGGCAGAAAATACGGTAATTACACCCAGAAGAACTTAGTTCATTGGTTATATTATGCTTTGTTTGTGTCTTAGTCTGTTAGTCTATAAATCTGTTTGTTATTCATAGTTTCCTTTGTTTATACAAAATGTAAATATGTGGCCAACGTGTGAAATTTTAACCAATAATTCCGTTTTTTTTTTTTTTTTTTTCAATCACTTCGTACTCAATTTATTAATCTGTAAGCATCAGTGAGGAGGAGGGGCATCTAATCTACACAATCCTTTAAATTATCTAAAATTTAAATCCAATACTGTCCACAGTCTTTTTGCACGATCGTCCTCTGCAGGTTCGACTCTGGTAGGTTTTGTGTTTGTAGGTGTTTGAAGTGGAGTCGAGCACGAAGGCCAAAGATTTCTGCCACAACATCTCCGGACGTTTGATGCTCAAATCCTCCGAGGGCTTCAGCCTTTTCGTAAAGATCACAGACAAGGTGAGGCGTCCGTTTGTGGTTCGACATCAAGTTTTTATTGTCACAACCATTTGTGGGCTGATTGACACACGGATTCAGAACGAGACAGGATTTAGTTTTGTTCCTCTGGGAGTTTATCATTTCCAGTCTTGCTGTAGAAGAGTTTTCCTACATTACCTGTTATTAATGGTCAATATGTTGTTTATTTCTTACCTTGCTTTGATAATAGTTTTTGTTGAGAGTTTAACGTTTTTTCGGGGGGGGTTCAGTCTTATTTTCCGTTTGTTAGCGAGCTGCAGCAGTTGGGGGACCGTTCAGTGATGGACAACACATGAATGTTCTGTTGCAGCTGCACTGTTTGAAACGACCAGTTGTGGAAATCGCTGCCTAGTTTCACGTGCACAGTTTAGCAAAATGCATTCTTGGCTGTGCACATCATTTTATTGCCCACTTCCACAGCTGCCTCCATTTCTAAGATTTATTCTGCTGGAGTACAGTTTCTACAATAAATATTTCTCAGTGTGGTTTTGTGATACGTGTATTCAACGTGAAGCGACAGGCCTGTGTGTCGGACTAACATACAGATGTTTCACAGCCTCGTGACAAGGTCTTTACACGGTGGTTTACTGATCAACATTCAGTCTGTTCAGTTTGCAGTTCCCTCTCAGACATGCAGGTTTTAGAATAAGTGTTTTTTGTTCCTCTTTGCAGGTCATCAGTGTTCCAGACGGCGACTTCTTCTTCGATTTTGTCAGACACCTGACAGACTGGATCAAAAAAGCGAGACACGTGAAAGATGGTAAAGAGGCTGCTGTTAAAAGTTCAGAGAGTTGATCGTCCGTGTTTCTTCCCCCTGCGATGACTCGTCTCACATCTGTGTGTAGGAAGTGTAGTCGTGGTGCCTTCACTGACCTACCAGGTGTTTTTCATGAAGAAGCTGTGGACCAACACGGTGCCAGGCAGAGACTCTATGGCCGACTCCATCTTTCACTACTACCAAGTGAGCTTCAGTTCTTATACCGTTAAACTACACGAACAGAACTGAAGCTGATGTTTGTCCTCCAGCTGGACCGGTGTAGTTCAGTGCTGTTGGACAGAAACGGACCCGAGGAGAGTAAATGCTGCTGATACAGTCGTTACATATTCATTTTAAAAAGCAGCTTATTAAAAATAAACATGTTCCACGTGTAGCAGTTTGCTCAGATTAAACTCCGGTGTTTCTGTTCAGGAGCTGCCCAAGTATCTGCGCGGCTACCACAAGTGTTCGAGGGAGGAGGTGCACCAGCTGGCAGCTCTGATCTACAGAGTCCGGTTCGAAGAGGACAAATCCAGTTTCCAAAATATTTCCAAGATCCTGAAGGATCTTGTCCCCCAAGACCAGATCAGGCTTCTGAGCCCAGAGGACTGGAAGAAGGTGAGTGGACCACAACAACTGCATAAAACCAGGTTTAGTCAAAACATACCAGATTTGTTTTATTTATTCATAACTGGAACTTTAATTTGTGGTCACATTTTTTTTCTTACATGTTCTGAATCAAATACAATGCGTCATAAGCGAATAATTAGATTTTACAGAAGCACATGTGGGTATTTTGTAAAACCTATGGATGATTATAAACGTTAACGTAAAACCATTTGTGTTTTTCCCGTCAGTCCATCATGACTCTGTTCAGCAAACAGTCAGGGAAGACGCGTGAAGACGCCAAACTGTCCTTCCTCAAGATCATCTACAAGTGGCCCACGTTCGGGTCGGCCTTCTTTGAAGTCAAGGTAAAACCGATTTTAGAAAGTAGTAAAAGATGTGGAGCAGCTTATCAACCGTCTGCAGCAATTACAATTATTTATACTGTTAACTTCCATCAACCCACCCGCAGCAAACAACCGATCCAAATTACCCAGAAACCCTTCTGATAGCCATCAACAAACATGGAGTGAGTCTGATTGATCCAAAGACGAAGGTGAGAGCACACTGAACACTTCAGGTTAAACGCTTTAGCTGTAGACTGAATAATGTGTGTGCTAACCCGACTTCCTGCAGGACATCCTCACAACTCACCCGTTCACCAAGATCTCCAACTGGAGCAGCGGCAACACGTACTTCCACATCACCATCGGGAACCTGGTTCGAGGCTGCAAGCTGCTCTGTGAGACGTCACTGGTGAGCCCCGGACTTAACGTTCATACCCAAACCACTGGTGGCACAAGGGGAGGTTTGTTGCAGCCATCTTGCTAGGTGCCACACCCTGCGTTTGTTGCGTCAAATTTGTGAGAACAGGACAAAGTTTCCTCGCACCACCCTCTGTAGTTATCTACAATTACTTGTATATATTTTTCCCACATAACCTGTTGTAATGGAGCTTTCGTCTAGCAGATACTCTTAATTCACCATGAACACATTTTTCTCATAAAACAGGTCAATTGTGTAAAATTTTTAGTTAGCCAGTAGATGCTACATGTGTGTGAATGAGAGGGAGGCCGGTGGAACAGTGAGGTCACAAAGGTGCAGGACTTTAAGGACTTGGGGTCCAGGAAAATGGGGAGTGTGGTAAAGAGGTGAAGAAGAGTCCAGGCAGGATGGAGAAAAGTTTCAGGAGTGATGTGTGACAAAAGTGTCAGCAAAGGTCAAAGGAAAAGTTTACAAAGACAGTGGTGAGACCAGCTGTTGTTTGATCTGGAGACAGAAGTGGCAGAAATTAAGATGTTTCAGGTTCTCTTTAGAAGTGACAAGGATGGAGAAGATTAGGAGAGATCAGACTGAGATGGTCTGGACATGTCCACAGGAAGGACAGTGGGTATACTGGTAGAAGGATGTTAGAAATGCAGCTGCAGAGAACATGGAGGTAGTTGGAGTGGTGACCTCTGAAGAGGAGACAGACGAAAGATGTTGACTCCCACAAACAAAACATGATTTTATTTTTTTTTGCTACGCTAACAGTAACCATGTAGCACCTACCAAGATGGCTACAAAATCTCACTCAATTTCCATTTCTGTTTGCACAAGTCTGATAAGAGCCCAAGTTTATTCTTCAGTTTTTCCTCTGAACAGCAGAACTATTTATTATTTCAAACAAGAGGCTGATTATCAGACATTGATCCACTTCTAGTCAAATTAAGATTTACTGGAACTTTAGGATAAAAGTGCAGCGTTTACTCAGTAATATCTGAAAGTTTCATCAGTAAAAAGTGCTTCATGTGCATTTCTATCTGTTTCAGGGCTACAAGATGGACGACCTCCTGACCTCTTACATCAGCCAGATGCTGGCCACCATGACCAAGCAGAGAACTTCCCGAGGCAACAACAGCAAGTGACCACAAGATGCACGTTCAGCCCCGTCTTAACTCACCTTTTGCCTTTAAAAAAAAAAACTTCTCCAAACGTCTGCGCTGTCGTTGTGTCACATCAGACAGACACCTGGTAACAACAATAAATGGTAAATTAGAGTCGGCTTTGTGTACTCAACTTTTAAATCACTTAAACTATAATCAAATAGCTCAGAAGGTCAAACAGTTGTACTTGAGTAAGGATTTAAACTTTAGTATTGGTGGATTCATATCGAGAAGCTTTCATCTCCCCTGACGTTAGTTTTGATGCTATAAATAATTTGATGTCTGGTGGAACAGACTTCATAAAACAAACATCTACACGCCTTCTGTCTTGTAGCTTTTTGTTTTTTAATCAAGTTTAAATGTAGCTTTAGTTTCAAAGACGTGATTTGTTTTGTGCACCTTTTTGTAAGTTAAACTGTTTACCTTTTAGTTTTTATCATTTTTAATGGAAGTCATGATCAGGTTTCTGTTCTGGACTTCATATAAACCCAGGAGGAGTTGGTTCCTGTGAACGTTCTGTAGAAAATAAAGGTTTTGTAAAGAAACGTGACGCTCTGCTCTGCTGACACTTTACTGGAAACAAAACTTTCATTTTAACCACAAACTTGGTAGAAAAGATGCATCAAATCATTTAAGCTCTTAATGTTTGTTTTTAAGATATTTTATGGATGAAACCTGTTTACATTAGTAGTTCATTAAAACATCTGTTAAACTAATTCATTCAGCTTTACTCAAATCATTTAATATCTAAAGTAAAAGTGAATACAGTCTCTCGCTACTTCGTGAGTTTTCAACCTAAGATTGTACAGGGCACAACTTTAATATTACGTGACTGGGATGGTACGGAGGGGGGGAAAAAAACTTGACAGGTGCCGTCGTTTTGTAGTTTTCTTTCAATAAGCCTACACTGTAACACAAGTCAAAAGAACTACACTACCCAGAAGCCAACAGTGCTTCTGCCCGCTGCTTTCTGCCAAAATGGCACAATAGAGGGAGGATTTATCTATGAAGCTCACAGAACTGGCAGGAAAGTCGCAAATAATCCTGAAGCTGAACTCATCCTTCACGTTACATCTTCACTGGTGAGTACCTGGGCTGCAGTTGATCCGGACTCTGTGTGACCCAGATCCTGAGCGATGAGGGACTACTGTAATACACTTTAACCTGAGAGGATTAGGTTCATAGTGGTTTCATTTGATCCAGTTTTGGACTTTGGACTGGAACCATTCAGTGATTTGTTACCAGACCGGTTGTCTTCTGACAGTTTGAGCTGGAGATGGACCAGATGTTCCCCAGATGTGAGGAGAGGTCTGGATTAATGCAAAGAAGGATTTAAAACTATAACCATTGGTTTAAAGGATGCATCATATTCAAACTGTACAGGAAGTGCCTGAAACGTTTCCAAAAACCCAAATTTAATTTAAATGCATTTTCAGAGTTGTTTTGAATTTAAAGTAAACGCTGCTCTCGCCCCCTAAATGAAATAATAAACATCTGGGTAGACTTGTGTTAAAATCCAAATGGGTTTGATTCACCGGTGAAAGAAGGTGAAGATCAAATCAGTGAGAATCCACATCAGGTCGTCTGGACTCTGAGGAAATCCTGGATTTTTTTTATAGAAATAATCCAACAAAGAACTCCCCTCTAGACTTCCCCATTTGTTTTACATCAAACTCTACAGGTTGAAATTAGTTTAGAAATAGTTCCTTTAAATTATATTTTAACCAGAAATTACTTTCTTTTGAGCCATTTTAACAATTTTTCATCTGAGTTTTATGACTTTAAAATCTGTTTTTTTATCAACTACCTTCACAATAAAAGCATCCCTTCAGAAAGGTTTCATCATCAGATTCATGTGATTTTACTGGAAACGAGAAGCTTGAAATGGTCAGAGCTACAGAGAACAGCGTTTGTAATCTGACTCACCATGAGGACCTGAGGGGAGCTGATGGTGACCGAGCACCAGACCAGAGAGCAGAGCCACGGCTGGTTGATGACGTGCAGGTTGGTGATTTTTCCTGCAGCGTACTCTCTGTACATGAGAGGATAAAGTCATGTTTGTACAAACTTTACATTTTAATAAAACCAGGATCCAGGTATGAACGCACCTGATGAGCTCAGCGGACATGGTGCTGCAGCGCAGATTGAGTTTAATGTTTCTCTGCAGCTCCTCCAGAGGGGAGGTGACTGAAGTCTGCAGGAGCTCCGGGTCAGTGAGGTGAACCAGAAAACAGCTCTGAAGGCTGCAGCAGCTAAACTCAGAACACACAAAGTAACACTCATCAATCCAACACTGGGATTATTATCTATTATCACAATCTCAGATTATTTCAGCTTGCACTAAATAATCCATTTTATCATTGAATGTAAAAGTGTCGCCTTCTCAGATTATTGATATTCAGCTTCAGATGTGGATTCTTTAAAAAGACTTCAAGTCAGAAGTTTTAATTTAATCTGTTTAAAAATAAGTTGTAACAAATCTGAAACCCTTGCACACACTTCTCTAATTTCAAACCAAACCATTAAAAACTTCAACACGAACATTTGTGTTATCTTCATGACAAATATTTCACAGTATTCAAGTATTTTGATCGGGTTTTCAAAGTTCAGATGAACTCGACTCGTTTAGATTTAACCTTGCTCTGTTATCACCCGCCAACATGCAGAGGTGATCATTTAATGCCGTGTCTTTGTTAGCAAAATATCTCAGGAGCCAGGGGGGTTAATGTAAAGTAGTATAATTCAAAATGTCCATCATAGAAACACAGAAAATGAGTTACTTTAACAGATTTGAGCTAAAACTTGGTGTAGGAGTAGCTGAGAGTCTCTGTACTCTAAGGGTTAAATCACAGCGGGGAGATGATCCATGAAGGAAGTTTGTCTCAAAATGTTTTCACGACCCAGGAAGAACCTTCAGATCAGCTCCGACTCTGAGAAGCACAAACTGAAGATAAACAGTCTAAACTGGCTCCAGCCTGACCCTTCCTGGACGTTAAACCGTCTCACCTGAGGGGACCGGATCATGGACGACCTCCAGCATACGCTGGATCCAGTCTCGTCGGTTCGGTTGAGCTCTGGGCGGTTGGTGCAAAGCAATTACTTCCTGAGGTGAGCTGGACTGGGAAGCTCAGTCCTCACCTCCTTCTACAGGTGTGCAGTGGAGAGCATCCTGTGCTCCAGCATCAACGTGTGGCATGGAGGCTGCACAGCTGCAGAAAGAAAAGCTTTGCAGAGAGTGGTGAAGGCTGCACAGAAGATGTTGGAGTCAGTCTCCCCACCATCACAGACATCTACACCTCCAGATGCAGGAAGAGAGCCACCTGCATCATGAAGGACCCCACTCACCCAGTACACACACTTTTTGTCCTGCTCCCCTCAGGATGGAGGTTGTGGAGCATTAAGTGTAGAACCACTAGACTGAGGAACAGCTTCTACCCTGAAGCTTTTACTCATGAATCTCTAACCAGAATAATCACTGTAATGACACTAACTGGTGAAATGTGACTTTATCCATGCTGCTGATTATCCATGCTGCTGATTATCCATGCTGCTGATCTTACCCATAAGCTGCTGTATTCATACCCATCTGCTCACAACGGACTCATGTTCAGGCTGCTGTTTAATGCACCGTATTTATATCAGTGTTTAGTTTATATCTTAGATCCTTGTGTACAGTTTGTTTTTATACTTTACATTTGTGGTATTTTTGGATGTAACTGGGACCCTGAGTACACAATTTTGTTCCACATGTACCATGTGATGCTAATGACAAAGTGACCTTGAACCTTGAAGATCACCAGTTTGTGCGTCTGCGCTGCGAGTTGGAGGAAGACCTGTAGGCTGCAGACAGACTGGTTTCCTGCCCTCCCCCAGTGACCCAGTGGTTTCGAACAGATCATGCTGAAGGGGATAACCGATCGATCAATCGTCTATTATTGTGACGCAACTCTGCTCAGTGAGTTTCCATCAGCTCAGCTGCTGTTGCTCCGTTTCTACCTCCAAACTTTAACAACGTTTGAACCATTTGACTAAATGGCCAAAGTGATGACGGCGTACGGCATCAACGCTTCCGTTTCTGTTCAACGTTTAACACCTAATCAATAATCACACCTCTACATTTACCAGTGGCTTCTTAAATCTTATCTTATTTAGAGCGGAGTGTTTTTCTGACGGAGGAACCAGGACCGTTCAGTTTGAACATGGCAGCCAGGGTTTGGTCCTGTTGGTTTTTTTATTTTATTAATCCATAAGTTTAGAAAATAAAAACAACATCCACACCAAGCTTGTTACATATTGTTCTTGTGTTATGTAATTAGTTATTTAAAGGTGTTGAATTACTTTCAACATTCTTCAATTAAAACACACTTGAGCAGCATACTGTACTGTTTTTATTTAATTTAATTTGTGGATTGATTCAGTTGTATTGAAGGAAAACAAGTGTAATTTACAATATCTAGTAAAAACAAAAAACTTTTATTTAACATTTTATAACTGTACACTATAAATTGATAGTGGATTATAGATATTTTTCCCAAAATTGTGCCATTTCATTTTAAAGAAATTGGCACATTTATGTATTTTTCATGAGTAACAACTATTTACAGTATTTACAGTGATTCACAGCTCGAGACTGAATATTAAAAATATGAAGGAACAAAAGGGTGATTTGTACATTTTATGATTCTTACTGCGTTGATATAAACACATGGATGAAGGTGTTGAAGTAACATGTCAGCAGACTCCTCGTCCACACTTCTTCTGCAACACGGAAACAGCAGTAAGCCTTGGTTGTAGAAGCTGTGCCCCTGCAGAACATCTGGACTGCTCCCTGGTTCTGGCCTCTGAGAAGACGTTTCCAGTGACACGTGCAGAGACTGAAGATGTTTGAAGTGTGGACACAAAACACACGGGAAGACTGCAGCATCAGAGGAAGAGCAGGGAAGTGTGGAACAGAATGATGCTACGCAGGACTTCTCAGGTGGGCACTGGTAAAACATCTGTGGCACAGGACCACATCTGGATGGTACCAGCTCCAAACTTAGGATGTGCGATAAGTGGTTGGGACTCCAGCTGACGTAGCTTTTCTCCTGCTGTCACCCAGTGAGATCTAAAACAGATAACTGTTTTTAATCACATACATATAATAATACTTAACATATTTAGCTTTAAACAAGTAATAGATTCTAGTTTTGAAGATGAGCTGAAACATCAGCAGAACAAAACGGACTTTGCTGCTTCCACAGACAGTAACCAGTGACCACAGACAGTAACCAGTGACCACAAACAGTAACCAGTGAGCAGGAAGACGTTACTGTGAGCTCTCAGTACAGAAGTTGTCCATCATATGTCAAAGTTCTTCATCTGTCAGAAATGAACAGGAACTCTAATGAACATGAGCCAACCGGCTTTCTGACTGTTTCAAACCTGCAGTTCCTCATTTTTCTTCACGAACCTGAAGCACCTAGCTCTGACAACTCCCCGTCCCTCGACAATATTTGACCTGCAGTTATGAAGAAGCACAATTTGAACAAGCATAACATCTTATAACTAACATCTAGTATGTTTTCTTTCACAAATTGTAATGGCAAACACATAGAATGTTAAACTATCATTTAAAAGTTTATACCACGTCTGTCTCAAATATTCCAAATAATTTAGCACATTAATTGGGCTTTATTACAATGTTTATGTATAAGTTGTAGCTAACGGTTAGCTCGCTAAGCGACGTCTTTTCTTACCTTGATAGCTGTTGATATATTCCTCATGGAAGAACTTTTATCCTTTCTCAAGTTTATTGGTTCAAGAATTCATTGCTGCGATTTCCTCCACATCCGCAAAAGAAAAGTCTTTAACTTGCAATAACAAGCAGTGACCCAGCACCACGAGACGCTACTTACAGTTGTCGTGAAAAAGATCTATTCCAGGATGTCAGGCGGATGATCCTC